TGTAGATTTCGGGACTGGTTTTATAACAATACGGTCTACGGATATCCCCGCCGATAATGGTATTCCCTCCGTTTCATATTGTAAGCCATTCTAGCATTGTCCTCATTCATATAGATTCATGCCAAAAAGTCTTACATTGTGAAACGGAGAAAGTAGTTTTTATGGGATGAGAATGGTGAATTGAGGGAGAAACTTCCTCCTATTCAATATACACACCTTCTGTCCCATAAAAAACTCAATCCTAACCGGTACGGATATGAACACGTGGGTGCCTAGATTCGTAGTTATGATTGAAAATTTTCTAAGACCAAGGGAATACTTGGTAGGAGGTGATAATTGAGAGAAAATTATTCCTTTACGTCGCCTAAACAGATCAAGTCTCAACCATTCGTACTCCCTCCGTACTCGTAAAGGAAGTCATTTTGGACAGCGACACAGTCTTCAAAACACAACTTTGACTTCTTGTTTCTATAAAAATATTTATTGAAAAGTGATATTGTCAGGGTTATGGATACCACATACATAATAGTAGTTGACTAAATCTCGGCAGGATCCACCACATACTATGTCTTATACGGAAACTGGCCTCGAGGGAGTTCCGGATAAGGAAAGACAATCAGAGTTCTACATAGAAACGACAAGGACTACTCGGATTGTATCCATATTGGTTTCCCTAGTTCTACTTAGACAAGGGGACACCTATGGATATAAATACAAGATCCCCTAGGAGGAGAGGGGAGGGGGACCATGGAAGACACCCATGACAATCAACGTACGCCCACCAGAAGACACAACATACAAGCCTACATACGCCAAGACACGCCGCCGGATATCGACTTCAGGGATAGGCATGGCTATTCCCCTACGGTGTCTCCGGATAATGTCATGAGATACGAAAGCGCTATCTCTGATCTCGCCGGACACGGATTCGAGGAGGAAGGCTACCCTGTTGTCGACTAAAAGTCAGACCTTCAGACCGCCATGTCGACAATAGTTAGATAGGCTACCCCACATATTGTACTGGTGTGATTATGGTGAATAAAAAGCAACATCGGCTCCGACCAACAGGATGTAGGGCTATTACCTGACTGCTCAGGGACCCGAACCTGTATAAAAATCCCTGTCCCCATCTCTTTTACCTCAGTCTCGCATATATCCTAACACTAACGATCCCCATATTGTCCAAATACCGTAGTCGAGACATCAAACGTCGACAGTGGTGCGCCAGGTAGGGGGATTTTGGTGCTCTAGGATTTCGACGAGATGGGTTTAAGAAGATGGACTCTCCGACAACAAGCTACTCGACGACTTTAGCTATGAGGAGATCTAACCCAACCGGAGTACGTCCCCGAATGAGATCGGAACCATCAACATCAACAATTTTGATCTGTTGAGATCATCCAACCTTCAAAGATGACGCCGCCGCTGCGGAGGGCATCTGTACGGTATTTCCGACCATTGACGATCTTGAGGATGATGCCGGAAGGGTACAAGACGCCGACACCTCTAGAGACCGAAACCGACTACTACACTCATCGGGTTTAAGTGCGGTTTTGGTCAGACTCGGAGTAACAGGCCGGATATACTTCCTCCGTCTCAAAATAAAGCCATTTTGAGGTTGGCACGGGTATTAAGAAAGTAGGTGAGAATGATTGGAGGAAGTGTGTGATTGGTTGAAAAGAGAAAGTAGGTGAAGAAGAATAGTTGTGATTGGTTGAGAGGAGGAGGTAGGTGAAGAAATAGCTTCATTTTGGGACAAGACACTGTGCTAGAAATAGCTACATTTTGGGACGGATGGAGTACCACTGTCCGACATCACCACGTACTGATCGCTTCTGACATGTGCACATGCATATGCACAGACTCAATACGTGCCCAGGCATGCATTGGTTTGCCGTCATATACATGCACCGAAGACAATTCAACGGCTACTAAGGCTAGTTAAGGTAATTAGTAGATTAATTAATTTAATCAATCTACTAATTCCATAGATATATCCGGCATATATCTACACAAGTACGCAATATTTTATATGTAATTTATCGTATCTATCCAGATCATGCAGCATTGTCAGATCAATAATTTATTATGTTTACCTAGAGCATGTTTTTTATATAATGTCCGTTGTGCGAGTACTTCCGACGATAGGCCAACTACGGTCTAACGCTGGGGGCTCGCTCTATTTTCTTCTGTATAAATCATGCTTGTTTACGGTTTACATAATGCCTGATATTTAATCTGCTCGTTATATCCTGATAATACTAGAAGATCCATGCAATTTTTTGAGTACATACTCGATATTATCTGCTATATATCTTGCCTTCTAGAAAATATTTTTCAGGAACAATTGAGCACTCGAGTAGGTTATGGTCGAGTACACTCCATTATCGAGAATATTCTCGACAAATGTGGAGTTATCGCACCCAACCTACCAACAAAGACCGACGACCTATCTCATAGCACCGGCCATGGCTGGACTACTCGAGAAAAGGTTGTTAATAGATAATTCCTCGTGAACGCCGTCGGCTTGATCACCCGACATGATTGCGAACGGACATCTGGATATGCTATAAGTTGGGTACGTGATTCATGCTGGCCACATGAAATACACTTGCAATAAACCAACTCTAGCACTTCCATTGGTGTGCGAGAGATAATTCCGCTCGCTCACTGGTTCTCGCACTAGTACGCAGCAATCTCTCACACCGCAACGTCCATTGGTGTTCGAGAGATAATTCCGCTCGCTCACTGGTTCTCGCACCAGTACGCAACAATCTCTCACACCGCAACTTCCATTGGTGTTCGAGAGATAATTCCGCTTGCTCACTGGTTCTCGCACCAGTACGCAGCAATCTCTCACACCGCAACTTCCATTGATGTTCGAGAGATAATTCTGCTCGCTCACTGGTTCTCGCACCAGTACGTAGCAATCTCTCGCACCTTAACTTCAGATGGTCAAGGTACGACTACGGCAGCGTAGCGGTCCTCGCACCATGACTTCAGATGGTTGAGGAACAGCTACGACTGGTCTTCGACCGGCAGCGTAGCCGTCCTCGTACCACGACTCCAAATGATCGAGAGACGCCTATTCACTGGTTCTCAACCAGTTGATCATAGTGATCTCTCGTACATTTGCTTCAAGTGGTCGAGTTACGACTACTGCCTGGTCCTCGACCAGCGATGTAGCGTCTCTCTGGCTACTTCGACTTTCAGTGGTCGAGTTACGACTACTGCCTGGTTCTCGACCAGCGATGTAGCATCTCTCCGGCTACTTCCACTTTAAGTGGTCGAGTTACGGCTACTGCCTGGTCCTCGACCAGCGATGTAGCGTCTCTCCGGCTACTTCCACTTTAAGTGGTCGAGTTACGACTACTGCCTGGTTCTCGACCAGCGGTGTAGCGTTTCTCCCACTATTTCCACTTATAGTGGTCGAGTTACGACTACTGTCTGGTCCTTGACCAACGGTGTAGCGATTTCTCCCCCTACCTCTACTTCAACAAAGTTGGTAGCAGGTACACAATATCGCCAAGTTTTTTACCCAGAGATCCCTTACCACGACGACACCTAGCGTTGAAACCTATCCTACTGTCCCTTTACGCCGTCCTGACAAGGCCTCCGAGGAACCTAAGGGATCTTCGGCTGGAGACGCCCAGAGCTGATAAGACCTTGTCGGATCCTGTAGAGACAAAAGACCATGTAAGATCTGGTCGTGTAAGAGTTCTCGCCGTGCGTATTAACCAAGCCGTGTAATCGGAAATTGACTTTTCCAACTTCACGGCTGGGGGCTAGGATCAGTGCTTATTCAACCAAGGCAGGTCAAGGGTCCAAGAGCCTTATCATCCGAGAACGATTATCTGACGACAAGGCTGGGGGCTAGGGAGAGTGCATGACTCTACAAACTGACTGATCGAAGTCGTTAAGAGAGAAGACGCTCATACACAAAACATTGATCGGTAAAATTAATTCATTTTTAGTTTTCCATACATATTATAACATGTCACCCTTTGAGCATTCGCTCGGGGGCTATTTCTATTTGATATTCTTTTCTGAGTATTGATTTCAGGAAAATTCTATTCGACATTGATGAAGACTCCATGTCTCTATGGTTCTACACCAAGATCGACTAAGGCGAGTTCGACAAATGTCGACAAAGCTCCGTCGCAGACTCTACGCCTTCTCGATCGCTTGAGAACGGTTGCTGGATCTCGACAAGGAATACGGAATGAAGAAATGGTGTACCCGCCGAGATAAAATTTCTTGACTTCAATCCAAATTCTCGATTACAGCAAGACGAGAGACTTAGTCGTACGCTCTGTACTTTCTCGGTCGACATCAGAGATTGACTTAGACAAACCCTTTCGGTGCCCGCACGAGGCTGATAAAGGAAGTCTAACGTTATCTCTAAACTCACTGAGAACGGTCACGTGAGCTCGATAACAGTTCCTCCGAAGTCTGCGGTTGAGAATATGAACTCGTTCATTTGCATCGAAGTCGGGGGCTACTGTCAAGGTTATGGATACCACATACCTAATAGTAGTTGACTAAATCTCGGCAGGATCCACCACATACCATGTCTTATACAGAAACTGGCCTCGAGGGAGTTCCGGATAAGGAAAGACAACCAGAGTTCTACATGGAAACGACAAGGACTACTCGGATTGTATTCATATTGATTTCCCTAGTTCTACTTGAACAAGGGGCCACCTATGGATATAAATACAAGACCCCCTAGGAGGAGAGGGGAGGGGGACCATGGAAGACACCCATGACAATCAACGTACGCCCACCAGAAGCCACAACATACAAGCTACATACGCCAAGACACGCCGCCGGATATCGACTTCAGGGATAGGCATAGCTATTCCCCTACGGTGTCTCCGGATACTGTCACGAGATACGAAAGCGCTATCTCTGATCTCGCCGGACACGGATTCAAGGAGGAAGGCTACCCTGTTGTCGACTATAAGTCAGACCTTCAGACTAAAAAATAAGAGAGAGCAAGACTAAAAATTATAGCCCCATATTAATCACATCATCAATTTTCTCGTCCAAACTTTCACTCCTCTTGCCAAACAATCCGTAAATAGTTCCTAATCGAATGGATTTCTCGATAAGGCCGATGGTCGCATTTTGAAAGCTTGCTCAGTTTCGATCGCCTCCGTCGTCTTCTTCCCTTCTCCAGATGCCCTGGGCGTCGCACCGCCATGAGCTGAGCTTGGGACACCGCCGCTTGTCGACGAACCGGAGCTTACCGAACGTGCTCCTCAGCTGCCGCCACTCACAGTCCAGACGCTCCAGGAACCTCACCCGCAACGTCTCCACGACGTCCCACGTCACGTCGTCGCCGAACGCGCGGAGCCTCCCGCCCCGGACGCACAGCTTCCTCAGGCCGCCGCCGCGCGCCGGGTGCACGACCTCCTGCAGCTCCTCCGCCGGCACGCGCCGCAGGTCGAGCTTCGCGAGGCGGGGGAGGAGGGACAGATCCATCCTCCCGCCGCCGCCGGCGTGGGCTGCGGCGGCGCCCCACCGCACGCTCAGCGACTCCAATGCCGCGAACCCGTGCAGCCGCGGCAGCTCGTCGTCGGGCGCCACGGGAAGCTGGCGCCCCGTGCTGACGCTCAGCTTCCGTAGCAGCGGCAGTGCCGCGAGGTCGGCGAGGCGGCACGGGGGGATCTTCTTGCCACCGGCGGCGCTGGCGACCACGAAGCCCTTTAGGACCTGGAGCCGGTGGAGCTTGCAGACGCCGTGGGGCATTTGGTCGAGCAGGTAGCACTCGGACGCGTCAAGGTACTCGAGCTTCCCCAGCGACGCCATGGACGCCGGCAGGGTCTCGAGGTTGTGGCACGCCCTCAAGTCGAGCACGACGAGGTCGCGGAGGTCGCCGATGGACTCCGGGAGCGACTCGACGAGCGAGATGCCCCGGAGGCTAAGGTACCTGAGGTTCCGGCACGCCGCCGCCGCCGCGGCGCCCAGGACACCATCCGGCCGGACCATCTCGACGTGGTGCTCCGGTGACGTCTGCCACCGCCCGAGCTGGAGAGTCCCCATCCCCCGCTGCTCGCCCAGCCACGCCTCGTCCATCTCCAAGTATCGCTGGCTCAGGTTGTACACCGTGACATACTCGCCGCCGCCGCCGCCATGGCGGCTACTACCACGGGTCCTGCACAGAGTGACGCGCCGTGTCGTGCCGGGGAGGCACTCGTCGGTGGGTTCGCCGTCTCGGTCGAAGGCGAAGTAGCTGAAGCTCCGCGCGGCCGCGACGAGGAGGTCCCGGACCGACGGGTGGACCCTGCAGTAGTGCGCCGTGTGGCAGTGTGGGCGGAGCATCGCCGGCTGGAGGAGGCCCCGGGAGAGGAGGTCCTGGAAGCACGCCTTCCCGGCGGCGGCCGACCGCACGATGCCCTCGCCGATCCACCAGTGGATGAGCAGCCTCCTCTTGATCGCCTTGCCGCTCGGGAACACGGCGAGGCAAAGGGCGCACTGCTTCAGCTGCGGGTCCAGGGACTCCAAGACGCTCTTCAGGTGGCCGGAGCCGGAAGGGAACGCCTCGTCGCCGCCGCCGTCGTCGTCTTCGCCGCCGCGGGTGTTGGTCGTCATCCGCATCACCTTCTCCTGCAGAGCTGCTCGCACCAGCTGCACGGCTGATTTGATCTGCTCCATGAAGGAGCAGAGCTCGATGTGGTCCAGATCAAGAACGTCATCCTCATCTTCGCCGTCGCCGTGACCATCGTCATCACCGTCGCCGCCGTACCTGTGCAAGGTCCGAAGATCCATTTGCATCTCTTCGACCATCGTGTCAATCTTCTGCAGCCGGTGTTGGATAGCAGAGAAAACATCGATTGGTTCCCGGCGAGCTAACATGGTTGAGTGTAGACACGAAGGGGAAAATGAGGCAACCTGAATTGTGCTATGCACCTACCACGACCCCTATCACCCTATGATGTTTATAGTCTTTCAAAATTTTGCAAAGGTTGGAGTAGTAGATGTTTATTAGTGTTCTGATTTTTTTTTTAAAAAAACACACACAAAATTTGGGATGTTGTTGCCGCGGTGCTAAGAAAGGTCCATGGGCGTGGGGGACGAGCGAGTCCAGGATGGCTCCATAGAGGTTACCAGATAGCAGGTTGAGCCCACGTTCCTCGTCTATCCTAGCGAGAATGGGGTCATCACTGCTGCTGCTGTGCCTGGAAAGGATGGGATCACCATCGCCATTATCGCGCCGAGGGAGGACGAAGTAAGTCGCAGTCATTGTGCTGAGGGACGACGGGTAGCGTCGGCACCGGTGCTATTGAGTGAGTATGAGAAAGGTCGTTGCCGTTACACTGAGAGGCATTCATGGAGACCACCCTTGTCACTGTCAGGGAGGAAGGGGAGCATTGCCACCGTCTCCAGACGAGGAAGGAAGGGGGTCAGGGAAATGACACTACCAATGGGAAATGGTACGGTGGAACAAATATCCACGTCATTTTTGCATTTTCAATCTGTTGCCTTTGTCAGGGCGTCTCTAAAAATTGGAATTTTTAAAGTAGGCAAGGGGCTGCCGTGAAATACTGATGACATGTGTGATGCCTTCACTCTTCAACCTAGACGAATCAAGAGACATGACGAGAGGCAAATAAGGAAATGAACATATCGTTTTGATTGTCTGAATTAGGAGCTTAGCAACTCACTAGTCAATACTCAGGATGATCAGCCTCACGCTAATGCCCAAACGTGTGGTGGCGAAGCTGCACTTGGGTGCTAGCCAGATGAACCGTCGAGACGTCAGTGCAGGGCATATGCATACAGTCAATGAACCACATAGTCACATAGGGGTGTTACCGTATCAGATGGGTATGATTTGTGAAGGCAGCGCCTTAGCACTCATCAAGCTGGGCCGATGGGTTTTGCTCTCTTCGATTTTGGGCCCCCAAAATTTCTAGGGGCCCTATTCCATCGCTCAGTTGGCTCACCCTCTTCGACGACCATGATCTTTATAGATATTATGAAATCGGTATTTGGGTATCATATTTGGATCGTGGAGTGTCGGCTTACACCGACAAGGTATGGTGTGCAGATGGATACCTGATCTTATCTAATATTGTGATACCATATAAATCCTAAACTACACACGTTGAGAGATATTTTCTCTGTCCTAAAATATAAGTATTCTTAGAATAGTGACAAGTTAAATATTTTTAACTTTGACTATTAATTAAAAAATAAAAAAGATCAATCATATAAAATTGATGTAACTAGATTTATCATCAAACAAACTACTATCATACTCCCTCCGTAAAAAAAACTCAATCTAAGATGGGATAAGACATATTCTAGTACACAGAATATGTTACATCCCATCGTAGGTTAGGTTTTTTTATAGAGGGAGTAGTATGCAATTATTTTCATTTAAAATGTTTTATTATTATAGATATTGTTGGTCAAAATAACATCTCGAAGATCGTGTCGAAGTCTAAAATTGGTTATATTTTAGGACGGAGAGATCATGAACGACTCTCATTTTCTCGTGTGTTTCACGCCTGGCTAAAAATTAAAAAAAAATCTACTCCTAGCTTGGCACGTGACCTATGCGTGATCCGCAACCGCTCTCAACCTCCAAGAGCTCGTGAGTCGAGAAATTTCCGGCGTGGTCGGTGCCCATTTTGGTCAGAATCGCACGAGCAAAGCAACACCCCCCACCCCGCCTGAGAAATCCCCACGTCAACGGCAGCAACCCTCCCCCCTCGATCTCCGCCTGTAATCTTCGATTCGTCGCCGGCAACCGCCGCCCGCCGCCCCCCGTCGATCTCCAACCGCAGCCTTCGCCGTCCCGCTAAGTTGGAGAGCAGCACAAGTGCTGCTGGGAGCCGCTTGGGGGAAGCCGGTTCGGGCGACTGAACGCCGGGGAGCGCCGCCGCCACTCGCTAGCTCCGGCCTCCGGGGGCAACGCCGCCGAGCCACGTCGCCGGTCAGGTATATTTCGGTTTTTCTGAATACGGAAATTCCATCAACACCAGTATCCAAGCTTAAGTTAGGCCTCGCAAATATTTCAATCCAGGGATTTGTGTGCCGCATGATAACCTATTAGTATTATTAAACCATCCTTCCATTGCTCTAAAATTTGAGCTCTGTATTGGTCGATGATTCCACGAAAGCTCATTGGAGCCCCCCCAATGACCCATGTTAAATCCACCCCTGATTTTAGTTCATATGCTCCGCTTTATCATTTTTAGCTAAAGATGCATCATATGGTAGTTCGTTCGCACTGTAATGTTGCTTCGCCTGCTTGTTTGATTGAGTGGCTCTTCCTGTATGCATGTCCTAAACAAACAGGCAATGGATATGGATGATATGCTCGGTGGCCTGCGTGTTGCCGGAGTGCCGACCAAGAGCGCAATTTACTTATGGGGGTATAACCACAGTGGGCAGACGGCACGGAAGGGCAAGGAGTGCCACTTAAGGATCCCCAAAAGCCTCCCTCCAAAGCTATTCAAATGGCAGGATGGCAAGAACCTCAGGTGGATTGATGTTGCCTGCGGTCGCGGGCACACTGCTGCGGTCGCTTCTGATGGATCGCTCTACACCTGGGGTAGGTCCTTTATTTTTCCTTCTGTTCTTTAAATCAGACTCGAATAATTTGCTAGGTGAATGGATGAAACTTCAAATGAATTTATTAATACCATTATTGTTTATACTGAACTTTGATAGTTTACTTATTATGTCTCGTGTATTTTTTCCTCAATGTTATGTCAGCACAGGCATTTGCGTCAGTGATAAAAATACTATTATGTCTGCTCACACTATTTATAAGTCGTATCAGTGTTACAACTTTCTGTTTTCTGACATAACCATGTTGTATGTGTAGTTTAGTTAAAATAGCTATATAGTTTCTAAAAGGATCACAGTACTCCCCAAGTGTACCTAATTCAATACTAGGATATAAAGTGCTTAGTTTAGTGAGGGTTAGTTTGCAAAGTCATTTTATCAATTATAGCGCTTGAGCGCCAGAGCTAAGATGAGTTAATTCTGTTGCACCCATAACAGTGGTTTTACTTGTTCCTGAAGAAAATCACTCACATCCAACTTAAAAATATGTAGGGGCGAATGATTTTGGCCAGTTGGGAGACGGGACAGAGGAGAGTGCAAAGGAACCCCAAAAGGTGAAGGCACTGGAGACTGAATTTGTGAAATCAGTGTCCTGTGGAGCACATTGTACAGCTGCTGTTGCTGAACCTCGAGAAAACAATGGCACTATATCAAGAAGTAGGCTCTGGGTCTGGGGACAAAATCAGGTTTGCCCCTCATATGATTACTGTCCAATATGTGTGATCAGCAATTTATTTAATAAAATATTCAGCACTTGCGGTATCCATGCAGGGCTCAGATTACCCTCGCCTATTCTGGGGAGCTTTTGCACCAAATACGGTAAATTTGGATTGCACTGATCTGTTGTTCTTTTTGTGTGTTTCTAGTAGATATTTATGAGATCTAAAGTTTTTACCTAGTCAGACATTGCAGGTCATCGATGCTAGTATTTTTCAAACTCATCATATTTAAGTAATCACCCATAGTCTTCATTTCCTATTTATGTGTTAATCTTTTATCCCTGTTTGCTGTTGATACCTGTTATGCCATGGCCACAATGCTTAGATAGCAGTTCAAATAGATGAACTCTTAATTAGTTGTGTCATGTGTATGTTGATGTACCTTGGGTTAACTGTTACAGAGGTTGTGTACATGCATGCATCCAGGAGTCCAAATTCCATAGCTGTTACTATTCCTAGAGTTGGTTAGTGCCTTAAGATAATTAGGAATAAGAGATAAGATTCTAATTAGGAATATATATCATTTGAGTTAATAGAGGCAAGTGAAGATTATAATATTTCTATATCCTTCTTCATGTTGTTCCTGACTTTCTATATGTGACATCCCTGTTGATGTAGTTCCCTGCAACCAGCTGCTGGGAAGAACACGTCCATTGATCTATTGCTACTAGCTTATAACAGCTACCTTCTCACATTGACCACAAAGTAAACACAATAATGTATACCCGCAGTCTGCATTAAGATAAACCTGTTTAGATTTCAATTGGATTTACTCTGGCATATTGGCATCGTATACCATTGCCTTTATGGTTTGAGTAAATATGATCTAATCCACAAGGTAATGTATTTGAGGAAATAGAATCCAAATTTCCTCACGAAAATTGGTTCTATACCATGGAAGATCTATCTTCAAATTTAACCACCGAAGTTCACTAGTACACTTTAATACCATAAAAAATTACAATCTATTTATTGTTGTTTACCATTCCTTCATATTGCAAGGATAGAACTGTTAAAAGCTGACATTTACCCTTAAATACACCCTCACTTAACCACTTTATCTGTGCACGCATGAGTTTTGGAATCATCTGTCTTCATTAGCTAAATTGGCAGTGCACAAATGTATTCAGGTGTACAAAACCAATCATCCAACAGTAACAATCACAATTATATGTGAGATTGCACTGGATGGATGCACATAGGCATCGGGTGCAACAGAGCAGTCAACCATCACCTGCGCTTCCAGCCAGTTCCTCAGCCTTCGCTGCTTGAGCCTTGAGGTATCCCTTCCACTATGATTCCCCTCCCAGTACCTCCTAATCCACATCCCTCCCCCATCTCCCTTCCCTCCCGCTCATTGCAGCCATGGCAACCTCAATCTCGATCCCTCTGCAATCATCCAGCAATTCCCCATTTCCAAACTTTCACCCTCTTCTCCTTCCTCTCCTCCCATCCCTTGTTCCTGCAGGCCAAGTAGGGACTGCCCCTTAGACTAGGTGCAGCGCTGTATTGACTGGCAGAGAGAGGTGGCATTAAATGCAGGAGCAGCGCCATAGTCAGGGCAGCAAAGGAGGATTTGATGCTATGGACAGATCGAAACAGGAGGGGAAAAGGCGGTATTCTCATTATTGAATTTGATAAAAGAAAACAAAACAAACATTAGTCCTAACAGAATAAGGTGAAACGATATGAATAAATCTAAAAATTAGGAACTTTGGATGGCATTAAAATGTACCGGTGAACTTTGATGGTAAAAATCTAAAACCAGGATCTTTCAATGGTTTAGAAACAATTTATCAAATTCCTTAATGCCTTTGATGATTCTAAACCCCATTTGAAGCTGAAGTGCTCAACACTGAGAGGGTTAAACATAATGGCCATGTTTCTTTTGCACTAGAATGCAGCCGTTGCTGCCACAGCTGCAGACACGTAATACTGTTCGGGTTGGCTGCACTGCATCTGAAATAAGTGCAGCTGAACAGGGCCAAAGTCTTTGGAGTTACATTTGCTTATTGACCAAGAACTATCCTGTCTGTGCCCCCAATATCCTAATAAGCTAGTAAAAACTCCCGGCATTTGTTAAATAAAACAACAAGCAAAAGTGGATGTGCCTTTTTTGTGCATTCTAGGTTCTGCATTCTATGTGTGCATGCATCTCATGTTTCTCTGTTATTCTAATGTGTACCTGAAAGTGTATTTTTGGTCATTTTTCACTTGTCTTCGTTTCAGCCACAAACTTGTTCATTCATTAATGAAAAGTAGATGCATATGCTTGTTTCTTGGCTCTACAGTCTGCATCTACATGTATCTCCTAGCATTATAAGCTGATCTCTAAAGAAACTGATTGGAAGTAGAAAATCAAAATTGTGTCAGGTGCACATCTACAGTTGGTTTAAGAGAAGTGAACAGGTTGCTATGTGTGCTTAGAATGCCATTTATTTCACTATTTGATATTTTTGTACTTATGAATTGCAATTACTTGTTATTTTCTTAACTTGAGATTTGTGTCATGAATTCATTCTTAAAGATACTGGTTGGATGTACTTAATATCTTCCATATGTACACAGGTGATCCATCAGGTTTCCTGTGGAGCTGTTCATGTCATGGCCCTATCTGAAGATGGCCTGCTGCAGGCATGGGGTAATGTGCAAAACTAAAACTCATTTCCATCCTCTATACACGTTTTTAAATTGTGAACTTTTTATGCAACTGTGACACTTTGTTAATCTGATGGATAATTGGTCAATCAGTAGTGCTAGATCGTTAGGCTAATGGGATAGCTGGTTACGTGATGATATTTCTTGCAACACCACACAAACAAGAGGATATACCCCCCAACTTTTTTAGTTGTTTTATTTCTAGCTATTAACAAGATACATGCAACTTTTCTTACTAACCAGGCTATAATGAGTATGGTCAGCTTGGCAGAGGTTGTACTTCTGAAGGGCTACAGGGAGCTCGTGTATTAAATGCTTATGCAAGGTTCCTTGACGAAGCCCCTGAGCTAGTGAAGATTGTTAGAGTATCATGTGGAGAGTACCATACAGCAGCTATATCAGAAAATGGGGAGGTGTAAGTCATCTCAAAGGATGCTGATCTCTGCTGTTGGTGACAGTTATGTGGTTTCTCAGCTGAAAAAAAAAGGATTGATTTATAGTGGCCGAACTATATAGTGCTAACTGTAAAAATAAACAGGCAAATCGTCTCTCTTTCTGTCCTTTTTTTTGGAACATGGCACAGCAGAGGAAGCCCCTGCAGTTAGCTTTTCATTAATAAAAAAGATACTAATTTACAAAGTAGAAGTAAAAGAAATTGAAGTTACAGGGTCATAATACAGTTCAAAAGTTGATCTCTCAAAGTATCATTAATCCTAAAAAAAGAAGATAACAATCCTCCTTGAAAAGCATTGACAAGTCAAACCAACTTTTTTTTTTCAACTGATGACTTCCTTCACACTCCCTTTGCTGCTTTATTAAGATCACTATGTACGACATAATATATGTGATTTTCTAATTATGTAGACACCTTCTCACCTTCTGTGAACAGAAAATGTGTCATATGCTTATAACAGTTAAATCATGGTATTACAGAAAATAATTATGTAGACACCTTCTCACCTTCTGTGAACAGAAAATGTGTCATATGCTTATAACAGTTAAATCATGGTATTACTGTACTTAAATGGCTTGTCAGGTGGTTTTGCGAATTATTTGATTTGCTAGTCTATTTTTTTTATCATATGCTCGCTTTGTTTCCAACTAGATGTCAGATGTCAATTTATAATGCATGCTACCAAACCTTTAAAACTTTGATTAGTAAAATATACAAAAAAAAAGGATCCATTACATGGTAATTGTATTAGTAGACCTGTTAAAATTAATTTCACACCATTGCATTGTCTATACTTTTACAATTTTTACTAATGTATAGCTATAAAAGAACGATCAAGCTGTGTCCATGTAATTTTCTAAAAAAACTATTGGGAACAGAGTGCGCGTTACAAGTATTTTGAGAATTTTGTTCAAATCCTTCATGTGGGTTGTAACAGCTTATTTTATGCCTTCTATTGTGGAACATATGTCTAATAGACTAACAGGAACATGATTGTTTCTTTTTAATTTTTTTAAATATCACCTAATTTTGCAGATATACTTGGGGACTGGGAAGCATGGGACAGCTTGGGCATTGCTCTCTTCAGTCTGGAGATAAGGAGCTGATCCCAAGGCGTGTTGTTGCTCTTGACAGAACAGTAATCAGGGATGTGTCTTGTGGTGGGGTCCACTCTTGTGCTGTAACTGAAGATGGAGCCCTTTATGCTTGGGGTGGAGGACATGTGGGACAACTGGGCCTAGGACCTCAGAGCGGTTTCTTTTCTTGTGCTCTTAATGGATCTGATATGCTTCTTCGCAACATTCCAGTCCTGGTCATACCATCAGGAGTTCAGCTTGTTACTTGTGGTCATTCTCACACCCTTGTATCTATGAAAGACAGCCGCATATATGGTTGGGGCTATAATAGTTATGGCCAAGCCGCTAATGAAAAATCTACTTATGCTTGGTTCCCCTCTCCAGTTGATTGGTATGACTCTCAGAGTAATATTCTTTCATCTGTATTGCTATTTTTGGTAGTTAATTACAGTATGAACTTTGAACTTTGCACATTTCGCAATCCTCAGTCTTAACCTGTTCTTTTTAATAATATAGGTGTGTTGGAGAGGTAAGGAGACTTGCTGCAGGTGGTGGCCATTCAGCTGTTTTAACTGATGCATGTTCTCTAAAAGAACTGTGTGAGTTCAAGCTAGCAGAGACAGTTAACATGTCCAATGCTCTTCTAATAGAAGATGTTGCATCGCGGACTGGTGGTGATGCCTTGGCACGTCTGTGTGAGAAATTGAGGTATGTACACTGAAATTTGGAGTCACTAATGTTTCTTGTGTTTCATATGGTCAAGTCCTCATGCAATCTGTTTTCCAGGCCAGTGAGAAACATTGGTAACATAAATCATCATTAGTGTGATCTTAGTTCCATGTGAGAGTTTCCATGTATCTCGGATATGCATTCTGCATAGTTGTCTCAATTATTGAACGAGCATAAAATCCACAGTACATACTAACTTTGCTTTCGCTGTTTTCATTCATTACATTAGCCTATTAGTTTCTCCTCTCTGCTACTGATTTTGGCATATTTACAGGGAGCATTTGGTTGAGCAAGGAGAGTGTGAGCTGTTGGAAAATCAAATGATTGAAGAGGTGGAGGCTAAAGCCTAAATACTCTAGTGATTCATCGCTCCTTCGTAGGCATTGATTGAAGCATTAATCGTCTTGTTGCACTTCATATGAAGTGTGATTGTAGTGTCTGGACTGAAGGCTCTAATTAATTGTCTATTGGACTGTGAAGTCCCATTGGTGTCTCCAATGTGTATCAAAGAAATGGGGACTACATGTATGTTGTATGTATCATGAGTGACTGTTGTTGTAGAGAACCAAATAACCTTTGGCAACTTGAGAGCTGTGCTTTGTCACTGAAACTAACTGTAAGATTGAGAGTTGCCAGGTCATAGTAGTGTGATTCATGTCTGGTCTCTTTTGTTAACTGTACACGTTGGAACGCTAGACTCCGGTTCATGTTCTCGGCTATGCTGTGGTTTGGTCCTCCGAATATTAAGCTTTTCACTAAACTCTCTAACAACAAAGTCGTTGTAGTATAGTGGTGAGTATTCCCGCCTGTCACGCGGGTGACCCGGGTTCGATCCCCGGCAACGGCGATTTCTTTTTCCCTTTCTTTGTTTTTTTGGCTGCTGGCAACGGCGATTTCTTTCCTTTCCCTTGAGATTAACCCACGCATTTCAGTTTCACTACTTCTGTAGTCATCTTTTTTATTAAGTTATTTGAAATTGGGATTAATCCGCATTTCAATTTGATTTTTGTAGTTCATCTGTGCTCTTTTACAATGCTTTTCAATGGAGTGTTGGTTAGTCGTGTGATTTCTGTCTCTCCTGAGGATTTGGAGGAGGCCGTTTGGTTTGTGACCCAAAGTGAACCATGCTTAAAACAAATGTCTTCGGGAAAAGAAAAAAGGCATTGTTAAATTGCCACTCCTTCTGTCGTAGAATATAGCGATCTACCATTGGACAGGACATATTCTATATTACATGATAATATATTAACCTGTCAATATCGGTAGTTTTTATAATACGTCCAATTATAGATTGTTATATTATGGGAAGGAGGGAGTGTGCCATATTCTCTCGCATTTCTTACTGTCAAACACGCAGCTTTGCCAAAATTTTGATCTCTTTACAGCTCACCAAATAATAGCTTAGCTAATCTCACCAAAATATTGGTAACAGCCTAGCCAGTCTCACCAAACTTTTGACAACAATCCAAACGAACACATTTTACCAAAGGTGCCCATTCGCTATGAGTTTTTTAACACACCCGATTTTGCAAATTCCAGTTCCAGCTAGATGTTCCAATTGCAGAGACGTGTAGGCATTTCAATGCTGCTGCTCAGAGCCCCATTGGTTTTCCTAATAAATCAAAGCAAAAATTTAAATTTAAGTTTGGAGTTGATCTTAAAATATGTTCACTTTTAAGTCGCTAAAAATACAATTTTTTTGTTTATAAACTATTGTTATTCTCTAATAAACAGTTTTGACTTGTTAGAAAATGCAGGCAACCAATGAGGGCCTTGACCATTCGTCCATAATGCCTACGAAATGATTTAGAAATATAATATGGTAGTGCATACAATTCTCAGAACAACCAACAGGTATAGTGATTTGCAAAGGTTATTAAATACAATAACACCATTTAGCAACCAAAGCACGACTATCAAAATTACATGATAAAATTATTATTGTCTTGAATTATGTAAACGATGATAACAAATCCTTTTCCAGCTACAAAAGAACCAGCATAACAACAAAGAATTATAAAGTTGCTTAAGTAATCTCTCCCTTCATCTCAAAAAGAGCTATATCTAGGGGGCCTAGGCCACAGCAACACTTTCACTTAAAGGGTACTTTCCATCCTGCGACACACAAGCTCCCAGGATCAATCTACTTGGCCTTGCCGTTCTCGACAGCAGCAGTCGAGGGGTTCAGCTCATCCCAGGCCTCGATCCAGGTGACCATGGCATCGGCAAGCTTGACGAAGTAGGGGTCGATCTTGCCGAGCTTCTCCCTGACCTGCTCGGCGAGGGAGAGGTAGCACTTCTGGACGGTGTCGCACTCCTTGGGGATGGTGGCGTTCTGGAAGAAGGGGATGATGTCCTCCTGCCAGAAGATGCCCTTGTATTCCTTCTTCAAGTTCACGAAGGGGTTGCTAGCCTTGCTGTGCCAGATGTACGGCAGTCCAGTCTTCACTCCCAGGCTCAGGTGGTCACAGATGACCTAAAGTTTCAAGAATTAATATTAATTATTATTTTGTGAATGGAATGTTCAACTGTGCAATGAGAAAAGACATATCATGTAATAGATTCATGGTAATGACTTATAACTTTTCGACAGAAACACAAACCTTCATGCACCATCCAGCCCACATGTCGTCGTAGCGACCAATAGGCTGGCCATCACCCATGAGACCAAAGTACATTGCAGGACCGATGAGATCACGGTCAAAAGCAAGGTTCATGCCACACATGGGGAACAAGGTTCCCTTGGGCACAGTCATGACAGCATCAACATACCTGAACAAAACAAAAAAAAACAGGGGTCAGTAAAACTTATTGATGCAAGAGAATTGCTGCTGAATATCAGATCAGTCAAAGAACATGCAGTACCTGGAGTTCCTCTCACGAGGCTTGACCATCTGAGTAGGAGCATCATAGTCAGGGATGTTAAGCCACAGGCCGTGAGAGACAGCAGTCTTGGCTCCCTCCCTGAGGCTGAAGGGGTAACCACGGACAAAGTCAGCGCCTTCGCGGTAGGGATCATACAAGGTGTTGAAGAAGAACGGGGTGGACGGGCTGAGGAGGTTCTTGATGTGCTGCTCAAGAGCATTGATGTCCTTGCCAGATGGGTCCTTGGCAACCTACAATGCCAAGTCATTCAGTTGGTATGAGATCTATAATGCAATGCTACCAATTGAAACATTATTACATCAAGCTAAGCTATTACCATTACCAATAGAATGAATTCGATCGCAACATTACTAGAAAATGCTACATAAGCTTTGAACTTGAATGGAAGATCAAACTGGTTCTTAATATATTTGATTAAGAAAATGTTGTGGATCTCGCACAGGAGAGAGAGCCAAAATCACATCATTATGTCAATTTCATCAGAAAAGTAAAAAAGCCTGAAATTGACCTCAAATGCACCCTCAACTTGGATCAGATCTGAAGCAATTATCCCAGATCTAGCGATACCAAAGCACTCTGATACCGTTTGGTTAATACTTGACAAACTGAACTTGTCACATGTGAAGCAGACAAGACCGCGTAAGATAAGACGAACTCCCCTAACCAAAATGAAAAGGACCCATCTAATGACAATCATTTAACTAACCAACTAACTGGCAAGATCTAACATCAACTAGAGAAATTGAGGCATGCGTAATTATCATATACTAATAATTTTAACAACACATAAAGCCAGAAACCAAACAAAAGTACTAATCCTTTTCGAACACTGCACCTACCTACCAACCAACCAACCAATGTGATCTACCACACTAGCTGATGCTCACGCTCAGGTGAAGCAAGGGATCAAGATCCGCCGATGCGAGATCCAGATCTGATCAGGCCAGATCTGGCCAATTCCGAACGAACCGGACCCAGATCCCGGGCTTCCCCCACCAGATCCACGCGGAATTCCGCACCAAAACAAACACAGAGAGATCGAGATCGAGATCGAGAGGGGAACTTACGAAGCAGTCGTCGTCGATGGTGAAGACGTACTTCTTCTTGGAGACCATGTAGCCGAAGCAGCGGCATGCGGAGTCCTTGAAGGAGATGCAGGAGGCCTTGGGGCCGAGGATCCGGTTGATGTCGTTGCGGTTGTAGAGCTCGTAGTCGAAGCCCTCGGGGACGCGGATGGTCTTGGTCGGGTCGCCGTCCTGCACGATGATGAGGTGGTAGGGCTGGAAGAAGGGCCGCCACATCTCCAGGAAGTCCAGGTTGCGGATCGTCGGGATCACGATGTCCAGCTCGTCCTTGAGCAGCGGCGTCGACGGCACCGACGCCGACGGCACCGTCACCGTCCCCGCCATGATCTCTCCCTCTCCCTCTCCCTGGATCTCGCGCGCGCGGAGGAAGAGGAGGAGGAGGAGGAGGTGATGGTGGTGAGGTGTGAGGTGTGTGTGGGTTTGGGTGGGTGGGGAGGAGGAAGCGATTTATAGAGCGGGAGCTCCGGGAGGACGACGACTTTGTTATTCGTTTCCTTCTTTGCTTTGCTTCGCTTGCCTTGCTTTTTTTTTAAAAAAAATTGTGTATAATTAATTAGATAGGAGTATTATATTATTTTGTGCCTATTTTGTTTTGGTTTGCGTCATATGTTTGCCGAATTTTGGGATGCGTCCAAATTTATTTTGGGTTGGATCTGGGAGAGACCTGTCGGTGCATGGAAAGAGAGAACGTGTGTACCAGTGTAGAAGGTTTGAATTTTTATTTTTTTTGGTTTGTTCCAAGCGGTGGATAAAAGATAGGGGTATCTTAATATCGTTTTTATTGGAGATAAGGGGTAAAAGTGTTAAATCAAATGAAATGCACAATAGTGGCAGTGGTTTAAAGCTCTGCTTATCTCAAAATCAATGGAAAGAAACGGCCGTTTCCTAAAATAGAAACAAACAAATACTCCATCCATTTCAGGTTATAAGATGTTTTGACTTTGGTCAAAGTTAAACTGTTTTAAATTTGACTAAGTTTATAGACAAATATAGTAATATTTACATTACCAAATTAGTTTTATTAAAATAATAATTAAATATATTTTTATAATAAATTTATCTTGGATATTACTATTTTTTCTATAAACTTGATTAAACTTGAAGAAGTTTGATTTTGACCAAAGCCAAAACATTTTATAACTTGAAACTGAGAGAGTAAGAGTAAGAAACTTATTTTGTCTATATAATATCACTTCCAATAGATGTTTTTTTAAAGCTTGCAGTTTCAATTGGTTACAGTTTCTCAAAGGTTAAAATTCCTACTTTTATATTAGGTCCGAGGCATTACGCAATGTTTGTCTTGATAAAACTAGATATACTCTCTACTATATCTTAAGCCGCTACAAGCGACTCAACATTTACAATCATGAGAACCTAAACCACTATTAACGCCTCGTCATTTACTGTTATGGAGAACATGATTACTATTTTATGAACAATTGTTACTAAAATGACAACATATTTATAGTTGCGAGATATACTTACAATCTTTGTGAGGATACATTTTACTATTTTGTATGAATACATTTATGCTCACGAGGGAAGAATGGTACTATTACCTTGAGCTCTACTAAGCACTTACTATTTGCTTATTTGTTTGAGTATGGAATAAAATCGGGTGCAATAGCTATGGTGACTGTAACTTTGATGGTCACAAGTGCATGCAAAATGAATCCAATAACCA